TAAAATAGATTATTAAAACATTAAGGTCCAAATGTACAGTCTTAATCCGATTAGGTGCTATAGATGTTTCACATTTTCCCATCATACAATAAATGCACAAACTCTAAAATTATCTATTCTGTGTGGTGAAGGAAAACACACTGATTAAAAATGCACTAAAGAACCCCTTTGTACCAACTGTGGTCAGAAACTCAACAGTTTGGATATAAAATGCCCTATTTACCGGACGAATAAGAAAATGAAAACCATCCAGTTTACGAAGAAAGTATCTTATAATGAAGCTAAAAATATTTATAAACTACAAAAGCCCCCAAATTTTAATAATTAATTTATTAATTATTTTTAATAATTGATTATACTCATACTTATTAACCACTTCTATATATTTTTGTAAAAGCTTTATTGATTTCCTAAAGATTAATCAGTATTCTGTGTTTCCAGCATACCAAAATAATTGGGCAACAAGCTTTTATATTTTATATGAAAATATAGTGTTTCTCTCTTCTCAGAAGTTATTAAGTCTAAAAAAAGTATAAAACAACTCAGTAAATAGGTACACAAACAGATACATTGTTTAAATTCAAAGCTTATCCAATTCACCAAGCTAAGGTAGATTCTAATAATTTTACCCTCAACCCAGCACATCAAAATCGTCAGTGCCAAAGGTACAACGAACCGCGGTCACAAGGTCTTCAGCCGCGGTCCTCGCGCAGCGTTTCCTCTTCTCTATCCCCAATCCTCTTTCTCTACCTCCTCTTTCTCTACCTCTTTCGCTTCCTCTATCTCCTTCTCTTCTTCTACCTTTTCCACTTTCACATTGCCTCCCTCCCTCCTTCCCTCTACCATGTTCTACTCCTCCGCCCCCCTTCCTCACAACACCTATATCTCAATCTCTGTTCTCTGCTTTTTCATTTCAGGAACCTTTGGACAAAGGCCGACATGAAGATAGAATGACGAAAAGATAGCCCCAACCCAAACCAAAGGCACCACGGAGTTCTAATACCTGTACTTAAATCTGTATATTCAGAATTAGTTCCAATTAACATACACCTTCAATATGTTGCAGAGTTCACCACGGTTTGACCTTTTCAATTTGCATGACTGGACTCCCAACATCTCTTAGATATTTACACTAACCCACTTCCTCATCCTGTTTTATTTATTGACAACCTAAAGGGCCACAACCCTCTGTCGGGATCACAAGACATTAACATGCGGGGTAAAATAATAGAACATTTTTTATAAATTTCCAATCTTCTCCTGTTCAATATAGGACAGCAAACATTCCTCAGCTTTAGTTATGGAACTAATGCAGTCCACGACCTTTCTTTCTGAAATTTCACGCTATAAACACTTTAGACTGGACTGTTTTACCCGACTTATCAAATTCATAAATATTAACCCCACATACGGGAAACCAAGATGGGTACTAAACCGGGCAGAGTGGGGTACTTTCGCTTCCCTGCCCTCTACACCTCAAACCCTTCCTTCCGTAGTAAAAGTTGATAAGAGATGAGAAATCGTTCATACGATCATACAAGCAGCTAAAGTATCGATACCGATGTCCTCGCGTCTTCAAAGAACACAGCTTGTTCCGTGGTTTAATGATACCTGTGAAAAAGCCACTAAAGAATCTCGTAAAGTGTATAAGAATTTTCAGAAATCTATGACGTCAGAAAATTTAATTGAATGTAAAAAACAGCGGCCCACTTGCAGAAAACTATTCAATCAGTGTTGGAATCTTGGAAAAAAAAAATATAACTTCCATAAATGCCTCTACAACATCAGCCGAAGTTTGGAACAAAGTCCATAAACTCACCGGAAATCCTCCATCCTCCTGCTACACTATAACATTCAACGGACAATTGTCTGATAACCAGTTACTAATTTCAAATACACTCGCTTATTGTTTTTATAGAATCTATAGCTCCGAAACAAACAATACCTACCCTGATGAAACAGAATTTACACTTACAATAAATGAAAATACCTTATCTTATAACCTTCGTTTTCAACGTGGGAACTAAAATATATTCTAAAGTTCGTATACAAAGGTACAACACCCGGTTCTGACAATATTCATTATGATATGATTAAAAATCTACCTCTCGACATACTTAAATGGCTCCTTGAATACTATAATCATGTCTGGTCCACTGAACACTTCCCAACTTCCTGACTCAATCCTTGGGTAATTCCTATTCTAAAGAAAGGAAAAGACAAGCCGCTCCCAGACAGCAATCGTTCTGTATTCGTAACAAGCTGCTTAAGTAAAATAATGTAACGGATGGTAAATAAAGAGATTGATGCGGGTTATAGAGAACAATAATTTAATGCAGCCGTTTCATGCAAAATAGACCATCTAGTTGCATTAGAGCCTGAAACCCAGTATACTTTCATCAATGGACAACAAGCGATTGCTGTTTTCTTCGATATGAAGAAAGCTTTTGGCAGCATAAACCATGATGTCGTCTTAAAAAAATATCAACTGTTGTTGGAATAATAGGAGACCTGTTCAACTATATCAAACAATACTTATCAAATCAGTACAATATAGTTAGAATATGGAGTACGAATGTGCTCTCTGAACACTATTATAAATGTCCTGAATTGTGACAGATTATAATATCTCTCAATAAAAATGTAAAAAAAAAAAAATATATAGTAAGAATAAGCTGCGGAACATCTAAGGGGTATAAGCAGATCAGTGGTGTCCCGGAAGGTTGTGCCCTCAGTCCAACATTGTTCGAATAGCAACCGACTTGGGACTCAACTTGCCTAGACGCGTTAAGCATCTTCTGTTCCTATATGATGATCTGTCCCATCTGTCCCTCGTGTTCTTCATAAAATCTCGAAACAATTTCTAATCTATAGAGCTGAAGGAAGAGCACATGCCGATACTGCTGTCATTGTACACCAATCCCTCACCAATACGTACCCCCATCATCTACACAAGATGTCCTACAATCCACCGCTATAGTAATAAAAACCTTCTCCTTTCCGGTTACCCTTGCATCAGCGTATTGCCCTCCTAACCGATCAAGATCCAGTGCCCAATTCAGTTCTCACTTCATCTTGGGTGAATACTTAAATGCCAAGCACCAACAATGGGACCGAACCCTGCTGTCTGCTCTCAATTCCCAACGTTTTCACCTCCTTTCCCCCAACTCTCCTACATACTGGCCCACAGACCCTAACCATAATCCTGATATCCTTAATTTCTTTATCCACAGTGGTTAAGGTCCCCTCAATTCCTCCATTACACATCTAAATGAACTTTCTACTTACAATAATCCTCTAATTCTTAATCTTTCACTTGAACCTGTTCCCAAACTTTTTTTTTGATCTTCCCCTTCTTCGCCGTTAAGGCTATACGGAGTTTTCTCGGGCCAGGGGGTGTGGGCGGGGATTCAAAAGACGCCTTGGCACCGGGACACGAACTCGTGACTATTTCTACAACATTTGTTATATATCAGGTTGCCAGGCAACGGTGGTGCTGTGCACACACGTTAGCCCATTCGGCCACCCCGACCACTCCTGTACTCCAAACCTTTTCCACTGTCATTTATCAGGGGTCAGTTAACTGGGATCTTTTCCGCCAAATCCTCTCCGATAAAATTGATTTCAATATATCCCTAAAAACTCCCGATGAACCAGATAGTTCTGTCAATTCCCTTACTACCACAATCCAACAAGCTCCCTGGACTGCCTCCTCTCCAAAAGACTCCCTAAGAATTCCTAAAAAGACCATTCTTCCTCAACACCTCCCTGACCTAATCCATATCAAACGCCGTGCTAGATTATTATGGCAATGTACTAGACGTCCCACCGACCGCAGCTCCTATAATTATTACTGTAAAAATTAAAACTGGAATTAGCCACCTTCGGATCACAATCCTTTAACTCCTATCTATCCTCCCTCTCTGGTCGTGACAATTCTCTTTGGAAAACCACAACAAAACATTCAGCAAATTTCCCATCCGCCCGGCTTTTGGGCACCATCTGATAAAACCCAGGAGTTCGCCAGACATCTATCCAATACATTTATTTCACATCCGGAATCCCATCCCGCCCACACCGTAACAGTAGAAGAATTTATTACATTCTCTATCCCATATTTCTTGCTCCCTAGAGCAGTTCATCCTTCCGAAGTGAAATTTCAATTACAGAAACTAATCGTAAATCTCCTGGATATGGTCTCCTTACCCTTCAGATCCTTCGACAACTTCCATCCAAAGCAGTCATATTCCTAACATATATCTACAATGGCATCCTACGTATTACCAAGTTTCCTCTATAATGGAAACACTCCATTATTATCATTTTTTCCGAAACCAGGCAAACCTCCCAACAGCTTGACGTCCTATAGACCAATTAGTCTACTCCCAATAATTTAAAAAATCTTTGAAAATATCCTTTTGAAACGAATCCTATCCTTCATAGAGTCTCAAAATCTTCCTTCCCATCAGTTTGATTTCGCTCACAACACTCCACTATTCAACAAGGACTCTGAGTCGTTGATCATATTTCAGCAGCTCTATAAAACTGTTCGGATGCATTTCTGGACATAGCACAGGCTTTTGACCGCGTATGGCACCTCTTCAATCTTAAAATGTATCTCCCTCAGTCCCTAATCGTAGTTTCGTAGAGGCTTCTAGATGGATTGCTATATGATCCACCCATTTTAACCTCCGTGCCTTCATGTCATAGGATATTGATTGACCAGTTTAGTTATTTTTATGTTATTTTAAAGTTTTTAATTTTTAAAGTATTAACAATTTATTTTCATAATATATGATCGAATGATATTTCAAATCAGTTAATAATCGAGACATCTAAACTATAGTACAATTTTTTTTCTCAGTATTTTATGCTCAAATTGTTTCAAAACATTCCTGGGCTTCATCCGGAAAGCCCCCTCCTCCTGTTGATCCGCCTGTGCATTTCAGTAATACATTTCATATATTTGCAATGGAATCCCAGCATACAATGTTTTACCGTTTTATCACCTATTGATAAAACCAGTGCATCAGTGAATCAGCGCTATAATTAAAAAGATAAAGTGATTTTTCAATTTCGGATTTGGGTATTTACCTGAGGTTAAAATTTTTGGATTATTTAATTTATTTAATGTAGTTTGGATTTTTGTAGGTATATTTGAATTCCTCTGTAAAATACTTTTGTTGTATTATAATCTTGTCCCTTTAACCTTAGAAACAGGATTTATTAAAGCTTTGTTAAAATTTTAAACAATTTGTCATTTAGTTTTACCTGATTCGATGAAAAAATAAAGGATATGAAATGTAGCGAGAATACTGATATATATATATTGTGACGTCAATCTTCGTAGTATTACGCCTGTACTAATAATTGTTAAGTTATTTATTATTATGTCACTTGTTAATAACAATATCTGCGATTTTATGTTATTTTGTATTCGAATATCCTGAATTTTTCATTTATAAACACACAAGAGCACTCAAAGTATTTGTAGGGACGAATGGCCTCGACACTATTTAAAAAATTGAGGGGGAACGGGACCCCACCGTCCTATTGAAGTAGACGCGTATGTTTGTATCTAAATTACTTTATGACTCTTTTTGAACATTTTTCTCTTTTATCTTATTATTAGTTATTACCTTAGTCAAATAGCCGCCTTTTTGCCTCCAGGAAACTTTCCTGCTACAGACTTTTTCAACCTTCAGTTCTTGCTCCATAGTTCTGATATTCATGACTTTCTACTGGGGTGCCTTTAAATTTCAAGACCTGTTCTTTCGAATTCCTTGCCTTCTGTTTTCACTCGCTAGGTATTTCTGTTTTTATTTTCCCTCTCTCTTATCAAAAAATTGTTATCCTATGTTAGTTTTCCTCCGGCCTTTCTTGAAAAAATTCCCGAAGCAGGTTCAGGACATAAAAATACCCTGATCAGACCTGTTGCTGCTCATTGAGTAAATCTTGGATGATGAATAAGACTACATTTGTGATAACAGGTGGGACTGCGAGGAATGTTCGGTAGTGAGGTTATAAGTGGAATATGGTGAATAAAAAAACAAAAAAAGAAATATATGAAGAGAAGTTGGTTGGGTTGTTAAGTCCAAAACTAAAAATTAAAAATAAATAAATGATATTTCTTTTTTTCAACGTTTCGGCCCAAAGTTCCCCTCTGATTTAGGCCTCAATTTTCACTACAGTCAACCATCAATCAACTATCAAAGAAATATATGATTTTAATAACGATCTTCGCCTCTTATATGCAAAGAGAATGAATCTGCTCAAAATGGTATGGTCGTGTCAATCAAATGAATGAAGATAAACAGGAGTAAAAGATATATGAAGAAAGAATTCTCGCCACTAGATCCAAGGCATGACAAGGGGTACGATAGATGGAGAAGGTGAGAGAAGACATACAAGAAGCGGGTATCTATCATATCTCTGTGGCAGCAGATATTGAAGGAGGCCTTCGGTCAGAAGCTTCAGAAGAACATATTAATTTTTTCAACTCTTTTGGATTTGAACTTTTCATTTACATGTTGTGAACGATAAATCTTTACAACAATTTCCATGCCCTGACTATAACGACGTCTTTATCAAAAAACAGGACATAAACAGGCTGTGGATTGTCCTTACCATACTGAGATAAGAAAGTAATTTTACAGCATCTCTGGCGTAATGATTACAAAACACATTGTGTTTAAGCTGTTTCTTCACGAATAGTCGATTCGAATTCACGAAATGTGAAACATCCAATCTGCCGTCATTTTGAAACGAAATGAAGGAATAGCATTTCGGGACTAATATAAAAATTTGGCTTATAGATAACAACACTAGCGGATTCAGGATTTAATTCGGGGGGAGGGGTCTTCAGCCAGAAACTTTTTTTTCATGTATATAACGATTTTGGAAAAAAAAAGATACTAACTACGTTTATGAAATGGTGTCTAAGTGATTCTTGAGGTCCTAATAAATGTAATCACAAATACAATAATACTTTAATAGATAATTTATAAATATTTTATTCCATAAAACATGGTTACATTTTATCATTTTGGGGGGAGAGGACTTCAGCCCGAAAGCCCTCCCTTCCTTCCCCCCTCGTAGATCCGCCTGTGGATGACAAAAGATCTTATGATCACACCATAAACGGGAACCCAGAAATGGCTTAGTCTCCGAAAGTTGACGGAAGTGACCGAACCGTATGGTGAAGCCACAACTTCAACTGCAAAAGACCTGTTGGTTTATTTATTTACTGATTTACTGATTCTTGGTGATAAGATAAACCCTACTCGGATTTGCTGCGGATTATCGTGCTCCGTGTGACTGCTATCATGCAATGGATAATACAACTATATCGCCTTACCGCGTCGTCAGGAATATTGTTTCGCTGATACATATCGTATTCTGTGTGTGCTTTTAGGCAGGAACGCTCCAATCTTCCGCTATTCTCGGAATCCAATTATATTGCAATCGTGAAGAATTTTGAGTTGTGGAGATCTTATAGTGGTCTGTGACTTTGGTTAAATCTGCGACGAAGGCCTTTATTCTCTGAGAAAAGCTGCGGACGGGCGGATTTTTTAAAATTAGATTTTGGTTTTTATGTATCATATAAAATAAGAAATATATATATATATATATATATATATATATATATATATATATATATATATATGCATACGTTTGTCGATTATAAAAGTTCATTATTGAAATTATAAACCAAAAAGACTACTTATTACATTTTTCTCTCTACATTGATGTTAGTTGAACCGTTCTATCATAGATGTCGTTAGAACGTAGGACTGATTGGCATCATGGGACAGTAATGCCGGAATTTGATTCTTCGTATAGTATCATTGCGTATATGTATTGTAAGTTAATCCTTGCTGTTTCGGCACAATTAATGTTGAATCATGAATATCAACGGATTTAGTTATATTCTAGAACTTCAGTTTTATGATTTGTATGTTATTAATCCAACGGAACTAAAGTGGCACTTTTTATCTATTTCTATTTGATTGTTTTTCCTGATGTCTTTTGTGGCTGATTTTTATTTTACGTGAAATAAAACAAACAAATGGTATCAGAAAGTATCTATTACGTTCCTGGATACTGTTTTGAGAATTGTGGTCGATGCTTTGATGGTAATTTGCCGATTATTTTAAGAAACAGTGGTGCATTAGGTTATTGTGAAATGATAAATCACCGGAAACTTGTTAATGTGGGGTGCTATATCAAGGATATTTTATAAGAAACAGGATAAATCTGATACTTCAAATGAGGAATCTATAATGGATAAAGGAGAGGGAAAGAGAGCACAGGAATGTGATACTGAAACCCATGCAACTAGACAAGTAAGTGGAGTTGTGTTTAATGATGACTCAGATTATAAATCATTGTCATTCCCTATTATTTTTTCAATGTTGTTGCTAATGAAGTTCAAGTAACTTATTTGTTTTTTTCAATTTTCATCACTGGAGCTAAATCTGAAAAACATGTTTATAGATATTGAAACCTTACAGAGGTTTTTTTTTGTCCTTATCATATGAGTTGTTTAAAAGTAAAATGCCATTTTATGTTCTCAAGCCTGCTTGTTAAATTTTGCTAGTTCTCAAATTTTGTTTTGTTTATAATGTTGGTTCTCCTAGCTGTAATGTGACTTTTCATTAATTGTACTTTTAAAATAAACCAGTACTGGGCATGCAACATATTGAATTTCATAGTTTGTTCAGACCTTAATTATATCACTGGTTGAGGTTATATTTTATATTTTAAAACTTTGTGTAATTCAGATATTGATTTAGCTGTTTGGTGTATTCATAGAATTATAAGTAATCAGGTTTTAAGGGCTTATTATTTATTTTTTCAACTAGCTTGAATAGAGTTATTTGTTATCAAAATTATCAGTCATTTTTTGTTTTATTTTTATTGAAAATTGAAACAGCTGCCCTTGATTAATATTGACTAGAGGGGGTAACATTTGAAGTGGGGAGATTGACTGGATTTCATTATTTAAGGTAGTTCTGTTACTTCCATTGTGTGTAGATGGTTTAATTCTATTTTATAGAAAGTATATGTTTTAATAATATATTTGCATATAGTGTTTAATATGACAATAGAATTTTGCTTATACTGACAGTGTAATGGTTTTACGATTGACGTCTATTCTTCATTTTCCATCTCCTAGAATTCTTGAGGATAAAGCTTTGGATCCTGTCGAGCAACTCTGCCCTGTAAGTTAAGATTTCATTGAAGATATAAAAGGATAATTCATTAGCAATTGTAACACTGAAATATTTAATTTTGTCAGGAAAGTTTTATATTTTTTTTATTGACTATAATATTTTAGTGTTTATTTATGGCAGAGTTACTATGTTTTTTTTACTGAGTAATTGTGTTTTAAACCTATCTATAAACTTATAATCGCATCCATTGACTGTGTTGATCATTGTTCATTAGATTACTCGGTGCTTTTATTTTGTCCTTTGTTGTGATTACCTCTGAATATTACAAATTAAAATCATTGTCGCTTTATAATAATTCTCCATTTGATAAAATCATCAGGTTATATTGCTTATCAATTTCAAATTTGTTTTGATAAATTTAGTTTGTGATTGTTTGTACTGCTTAATCTAAAGGATCAGTTTGTCACAATATTATTTTTACATATATATATATATATATATATATATATATATTTTTTTTTTTTTTTAATTTATAATATACCTTTATGGGGATTAAAAAAAAGTTTTAATGCCGAGTATTTATTACTAAATTCGATTATATGAATTGAAATTATGAATATCATTTTTGAAATATAATTATTGTTTAACAATACCAATATGTGCTCGTAATGTAAGATTATTTTAATCTTACAAGGAAATTTTTCTAATGACCAATAATGTAGTTTGATGTTACAAATTATAGGTTTTTGATTATTAAGTCTTAACATAGTTATATTAAAACATCAAATTCATTGTACATTAAAATGTTTTCCAATGAAGCACTAAAAAAACCTAAAATCCCGTATTTTCTTGTTGGAATACTGTACACACTGTGGTAATTTGTTTGGACGACACAGTGCGATCAAGTGGTCTTGATGCACCTGTCGATATCACTTTTTTTAGGATTGGTTTTGCCTAAATAACTCGATAAATGGTTTATAACTGAGTAATAATATTCCCGGAGTTGGAGCATAGGACCTTCGTTATCTTTAATCAAAGGAAAACTATCTGTAGATGTTACTTTGGAAGTCATTATTATATTCCTTAATGTTTATCTTATAAATCAAATTTTTTAAATGTTAATTTTAGATTTTAGTAATAAATATTATTCCTTATTGTTGAGGATATAAAATGTTACTTTTTGTTTTTTGGATATACTTTTACTTCAGCATTGCTTTAAATAGGTAAAATATATTGAAAAAAATAATAATTTTATTTTTTATATACATATGATACATTTACCTATAAAATTAACTGTTTAATTATTATTTTCCTCGGTATTATCTTACAATTTTTCTTAAAACATTTTAAGTTTTATTTTGTTTGTTACCTCAATCGCGTTGTTAAGATATTTAATCTATGTTATTATTTCTACTTGTTAAAACCAATGTATAGCCTCTTTTAAATTCCAAATCCTTACAGAAAACTTTATCTGCGGTAATGGTGGCGTCAGGATTTACTATATACACCCATGTATGTCAGATATTGATGATTATATTTATGACACCAAAATAAAAATTTCCTACTTTTATAATTATAATGCCATGATGACTTTCCCTGTCAGCTTTAGGTTTATATCCACTCTCATAATTGGCTAGTGTTGTTTCTCGACTCGATAATTATATATATATATATATATTAATTTATCATGTTTTCAGTGTGTTCTGTTTTTTCAAAACTTTTGCACTTTATATTGTTTTAAATTTAATCAATGATTTACTAATGATGTACAAATTATTTCTAGTTGTATATCTTCATAGTATGATGCTATTTCATCTTATTATTCTGGGTTACAATACTTACAAAGATTGTTTGTTATGTGTTGATTTGTCGCTAAAAGAGGTTTAGTTGAAAGGTTTAGTTGAAGTTTTGTGTTAACATTTTTCTTTTTAAATATTACATTAACCTCATGATTTCATCTTGTGGCACGATTATTTTTTGAGACTTGTGATTGACACCTAACATGCATATCATCATGTTATCTAAATGTTTTATTTTATTTTTTTTTTTATAATTCTTTTATATACGATGGAAGTATTAAAAAATATTTTTCCCTTATTATAGCTTTTAATTGTTTGTCCTGAGAAAGCTTTATAGGAGGCAATAACTAAAAGTATTGTTATCAACTTTATTTTATGTTTAAATGATCTTTGGAAGGTGTATAAGTGTAAGATTAAAGCTAATTCAGTTCAACTGTTTTATGCTGACTTTCTTTTCTATTTACTTTAGTTGCTTTGGTCATGAGGTTTCCTGTTGAGTCATGGATAAAAAAAATAAATAAAAAAATGATGATTAATTCTCCATTGTTATATTTCAATGAAAAAATAAATTTAAAAACTATTAATTTATTTTAACACAATAAAAAAAAAGATATATTAACATTTTTGACAATTTTGGCTACACATAATACAAGTGTTGCCAAGATTATCAAAAATGTTAATATATCTTTTGTTTCAAATATTACATTTTTGATCAATATTAAAAACAGAAATTCTTTATTTGATTAAATATATTTTAAAGATCTATTAAAAATTGGAATTTATAAACTGAATTAATGAATTACAATATTTTATTAACAAATAATGTTGTATTATATTTAAGATTGTTTAATAAAATGCAATAGAAACTTTAATGATAAAGAAAAAAAGTGATTTAAAGTAAAATCTGCATAAAATTTGGTTAAGTTTGCCACAACTTATAAATATAGTATTTACAAAATACAATGTTTTGTAAAATACAAGATTCTTTTGAGAAAGGGGTATTTTGATTTGATAAATATTGTATTTAATTAGAGCTTTCTCTGAACTCACTCTAATCAGGTCATCATATTAATGTAACTTTCTCAATGTTTCTCTTAACTAGAGGCTCACCAGCAGTTTGAAAAAATAAACATTTCTTTAAACATTACATTTTTATTTATTTATTTTTATTTTATTTTAGTAAGTACAATACATATGCAAATCTAAGCGATATCCTGAAGAAATATTTGATCTGGGCCATTCACTAAAACTTAATAACATTATCATTCCCCTATGCAGTACTAGATAAACAACCCAAATAGAAAGACCATTTTTTAACTTAACTTAACCGTTACCTTAACCGTAAATATGATGAATTTACATTTAGCCTTGTCTTCAGATTATCTGATTTTGTCTTCCTCTGAGGATTATTTTTATATATTAATCAAAAGTTTCCTTCAATTTTTACTCCAAGATAGCTTTATTCAAACAATATATTAAAGTTTGAAATGGGGACATAGTATTGTTTTTTAACAGTTTCGTAAAATAAAAGAAGAATGTCATTTTTTAGGAGCAAATACTGAATCGGCTACCATCTCTTCTTTGTTATCTGATTTTCAAAAATCAATTATCCACAATAACTGCAATAGGAAATTAGCAGCATTAATGGCAATAAAATTATTATATTAAGATATCAATAAGTATGAATACAAATGAGCAGGTATCACTTGTAATTACTATATAGTTTAGATAAAAAAAATATTCCAGACAAAATGTACTTTATTTAATTAAATTTAATTTAATCTGCTTAAAAGCAGATTAAATTCATGACAAATTTTTGTTTGCTGCGTGTTTTTGATTATAAAATGAAGGAGTTGAATATATTTTCAATAATTAAGTCCATTTAATCATACAGTTAAAGCTGTTTGCTTGGTACTGAACTGGAGGAGTGTATCCAAGGAATTAGTCTGTTGTGCACTCACCTTTTTTCAAATGAATCAATTATTAACATCCACCAAAAACTTCGTAAATAGCTTCATCTCATTGTAACCTACAAATATTTTATTTACGAAAATTCTCTGAATATTATATTTTATAGAAATATTATTAGAAAATTATACATAAATATTATTATTATTTTAAAATAGAAAAGATTTACTTGCTTTTAATTTTAATTTAATCTAGTATGAAGTAGGTTGGCTTAAAAATTACAAAATTTAAGTTTCCTGGTTCTCTGTATGTAATCAGACCATGGTTTATGGTTACCTTTTATAAGTTCTAATGTATTATATCACATGTTATCAATTATATGAAATTAGTGTCAGTCTAAAGTTCATATCATTGTCACGTAAGTCCTCATTGATTGATATTGAATTTCTGTTGTTAATGCCT